GTGATAATCATATAAAAGAATGGTGATGGTGTGAGGTCGTAATAATATTGAAATAAAAAATAGAATATAAATTTTGGTAATAAAGTGATATTTTAAAAGTCTGGACGAGAAAGTGTCATTAAACCATTATTTGAGTGGGAAAAAGTCCTTTTACTTTAAAATTGAAATTTTCTTTTGAATAGAGGAGCATTAAGGACAATTCACTTTATTGAATCTAAATTATGGAATCTTCGTGAATTGCTATTGAAAATTTAAAATCATCTATAGGATTATAATGAGGATTTAAAGGAGATTGCTAAGATCTAATTATATAATTTACATTATGATATATAATCGTGAATAGTAAAAATAGTTAATAACTGGAGTTTGGTGGCTGGCACGCAGGAGACGGTGGGTTCCATTTCTGATAATAATTACAAGGGTGGTGATGGATGCAATAATATTAATAATAATAACAATTATTATTATAGTCAACAAAAAACAACTTATACTTAAACCATTTCATGGGATGGACATGGAGCTGTATTCTGCTGCTTTTATTAGCCTACTGTTTCAAGTAAACTCATTATTTCTTATACTATAAATATATAAATATTTGTTTTTAGGGTAGTCTAGCTGTTTTTTGATTGACTCATTAAGAATCTTCTCTCATACTTTATTTCCATAAACTAAAAGCCTTTTTTGACCAAGATTTTATGTTTTGAAACTTGCATACCATATTACAAGTTTGGCACTGTTTTATTTTTTCTTCATTTTTTATTTATTTATATTAACTTAATCACACTTGCCTTTAATTAGGTTTCAAAGTTTCTAGAATGCAGTACGGGATAACGTTTAAATATTACAACCATATCATTTATGATTATGATATTCATATCCAAACAACATTTTATATACAGCATAAACATAGCGTTTACAACATAAACATTATATAATTAAAAAAAAACCAACAAATTTAGTCTGAACGTTGATAAAATAAACCAATTTTGAAATATTTCGTGTTTCAAATATTTATAAATAATTTTTTTGTCATCTATAAATAGTCAGATATAATAATAATATCTGTTTTTGTTTTGAATTAATTATTCAATCTAACATTTGAAAGAAAAGGCGACGTACTAAATACGGCCCACAAATTATGTAATACAGTTGAGCCAATAATTAAGGGTTAAGCATAATTTTGTTGGTTAATTAAAAAAAAAAAATAAAAAAATAGAGAGTTAGATAATGAAAGTGGGCTGACAGCTGATACGATCACGTGGTTTGACCCGGAAAAGGTATGTCATGGTCCACGTCGGTAAAGGATGAAGCAACAGTCAAAAGACGCTAATAAAAACCATTTGAGTTAAAATTGTATTTGTTTGTTTTTGGGTGTTTTGGAGTTAGTTGCGTGTGAACGGATTGACGAAACAAGTTGGAGGATAAGAAACCAACAAAAGCCATGGAATAATGCGTGTTGTTGACGCGGCAAGAAACTTCCACAAATCCCAATTACTCTTTTTTAACTTTTACATAAAAAAATTAAATTAAAAGAAAGATAGGATTATAATTTTAAAAGCATGAACATATTCTTACTTATAACTTTCTAGCCAGATAATATTTGTTATTTCTTTCACTTTGATGTTAATTGGGTATTCAGTTCCTTTTATAAACCAATGATGTGGCACGATATTCTCATCTCATCTTTACTTTATTTTATCTTAATTATACATTATCTTGTGAACAGAGTACTGACATCATCAACTACCCTATTAACAATAATCTTTACTAATATAAATATATATATTTTTATTTGATAATCAAGGTGTTTATACCAGTTTATAAACACCTCAATTAATTTTTAAAATCTGTTGAATACTTTACAGATCTAAAAGACTATATAAATCATAATGTTATTGTGATAGATGACCTTAATGTTTGAATCTAAAATTATTATAATAATTAATCTCAATGTTTGAATTCAAAAACAAAAAAAAAAAAAAGCAAATTTTTTTAACTATTAAAAGCGTTACTAATATAACTTCATCTACAGTTATAAATAAATAAATAAATCAAGGTTATTACAGGAGTAAATACATTAATTAAGGTTATTAATTACCTCATCTTTTGAAAAGGGATACGTGGGTTAATTTGGTCATAATTAGGAGATTAAAAACAACCAAATGGTGTTTAAAATCTTAATAAATCTCCAAAAGTAAGCATCCAAATCAAAGATTCCTTAGATGATGAGATTTCGTCACAAACGTGTAGCATCTTGATTGGATTGTTATAATAAGAGTGAGGACTGAGGTGGGTTGGCGTCGGTGGGTATGACGTGGCGTAGGCATCAGAAAGTCATCTTCAACCGAAAAAATAACCTAGGGAGTGGGAAAGTGGGAGCATGTCATCAACTCATATTATAAAATAATTTGGTTGAGATAATCACAAACATTATATTATAATGAAAAAGGTATGCAAAATAGATAACACATGCATGCTTTTAATTATTAAAAGTATTTAGTGAGGCATAGCAATAGCAGACAGTAACCTAGGTGGAAATGGAATTGATGACAATATCCAAAATGAGGTTGCATTCTCTTAATATATAAACCTTATAAAGTTTTGTTTGGTTGTTTTAAGATAAAGTATTTGTGTGATATCTTTGAGAAGATTAAGTTATATGGTATATTTTTTTTATATGAACCCAAAGCCGTCGGAAACTGTACTTTAACAACTTAGATTCATACCATATGAGGTGGAAAATTAAAAGAATAGTAAGTCAATCTGAAAACCATACTCTAGATTAAGATTAAGAGATAAACCCATCACACATCTAATGATGAAAGTTTAAAGAGATGACTAGGACTGCACCGAACCCCACCTTTATTGTAAGCTTAATTAATTTCATTACATAAATCAACTATACAAACTCATTCTTTCTTTAAGGCATAATAACTTTATACTGTCGACAGTGACAAATCTAACCCAAAATTTGTAGTTAGCTACATGTTGCTAAGATAGTATATATTAATTTAACACAACATTTGGAAAGGCCACATTGGCTCAAAAAGTTGCCAGATCTTATGATGAGTGTTGGTTGTTCCGTTGAATAAACACATCACCAGCGTACGTAGGGCGGCCAGGCCCTACCACTCGATTGGATTCGATTGCAGCTTAGTTCATACCAAATGTGGAAGGCTGAGCTGCTTATTTTGTAATTGACTCATGTGCAAAAATCAATCTGGATTTGATTTATTTATTTATTAAGAAGCGAATCTTTTTATATACCTCTAGGTTTCCACTCAAACGGAATAATTTTAAACGTTATTTCGTATAAGAAGAGCTTAATTTGTTCTTATTCCATTTGGCTTTGGAAAATCTCGACAAAAATTTAGCGTGACATGTTTTGTTTTCCAAATGTTTACTATTATCCACAGAAATATAACATCATTTGAAGAATAAATTTTATAATTGACAAAGGACTGTACCTTATTGTATTTTCAATAATACAATAGCTAGAAAAAGTGAACAAAAAAAGGAAAAATGTAGGGTTTAATTTAATATTGTTATTGGGATTTGGGAATAATGCACCTTATGTTATAAGATCTTCCGTAGTTTAGGCATCAAAATGCCCCCATAGTTTTAGATAGAATGTTGTAGTAGTAGCATCAATTGAATGTTGATTTGTCTTGTGAATTATTATTATTGTGTGTAAGTGACCAACCAAATAGGTGAAATTGTGATAAACATCAAAACAAGGGACGGTCGAGACGTAAATAATAATGTGGCAAGAGAAGAAAGTAGGGTCCATAAAGATAGTGTTCATGTTAACATCAATAATGCTTCTAAGCTCTCTGTGGATGAGTCATGGCAACCCAGAACCAAAACCAAAACTAAAACCAAAACCAAAACCAAAACCAAAACCAGGTGCCCAAACATGATTTGATATTCACACGTTCCCACTTGTAAGGAGTGGCAATACACACCAACCCCTCCCTTTCCGTATATCACTACTACAGTACACATGGACACGGTACATCGTTACCGTACCCGCAACCTCTACTGTTTCTTCTTATATAATCTAATCTAACACTATTTATATTAACTATAAACTTAATTACATGTAGAATCTCTCAGTAGGACCCACCTTAAGGACCAAAATCACAGCCAGTACTCTCAAATGAAACCCCTGACCCACTCTGTTTAATGATCAACTCGCTCACTTAGTGGGCCCTGCCTGCATAGACTCGGGACTCGTCCGTACAGATACTTAATTCATATTATGAATTTGGATCCAGGGAAAATTAAGAGAAATGAACACCGTCGGATCGGGGATCGAAGGGTGGAGATTTAGGATTATGTAAGTGCATGAACATGTGAATGTTCGTTAGAAATAATGGAATGATGATGAATAGTTTTGGTTTTGGGAGATACTAAGGTGAACCTACCCAATAAGACAAAAGAAAAGTTGAGGGAGGACGAATCAAATCATGCCAGGTAATTTAGATTGTATTGTTATGGGAATTTCTTGTTGGATGAGCCTTTGTTTTTTAGTTTGTCTTCAATGTCCAATGTCTATCCATCCATCCATCCATCCATCCATCCATCTCTTAATAATAATTTGGCCCACCTCCCATCCTAGTGGCCAAGTAAATAGAGGAAATGAAGTTATCAATAGCATAGCAGTATAAGATAAGATATGTAAAATAATAATATGTTATTAATATGAAAGAGAGAGAGAATGAGAGGCCATGCTTGTAGTCAGCAAGAGCAGGGGGGATGAATTTAACTTAAACACGGTCCACAGTAATGTGAACCCCATCAACTTGCTTATGTAGGTCCCACTTCACATACATAACCCACAACATACACATACTATTATCACTATTACTAATATGAACATGAATCTTCCTGGTTAGTTCCTTACCTGGGTTGACCCACTTCGCCCACATCCCCATCTCTCTTATTTCTTTACCTACAAAACCCCATGTATCTTCCTTTATATTATTATAATAATAAACACTTGCCCCAAACTTCTCTTATATATATACATATGTCTTCACCCACATGATCTTCAAACAAATCTAAACTCATATTTCATTACCTCTCTTTTCTATACTCAACTTAAACCCTTTCTTTTTATCAAAAATATGGACGCAACTTCTTTAGATGAGAGTACAACAACTGATTCCACATCCATTTCTCCACCAACTTTCACTCCTTTTCCACCTACAAAGTCACCACCTGAGAGCCTTTGCCGAGTTGGGAGTGGCACCAGTGTTATTTTCGACTCTGAAAGTGGCATCGAGGCCGAGTCGAGAAAGCTTCCGTCGTCTAAATACAAAGGAGTCGTGCCCCAACCAAATGGCCGATGGGGTGCTCAGATATACGAGAAGCATCAGCGAGTCTGGCTTGGGACCTTTAATGAAGAAGAAGAGGCTGCAAAAGCCTATGATATTGCTGCGCAGCGTTTCCGTGGGCGTGATGCAGTTACCAACTTCAAACAATTGGCGGAAGCCGAAGAGAATGACATCGAAATTGCGTTCTTGGACTCTCATTCGAAGGCGGAGATCGTTGACATGCTCAGAAAACATACGTACAATGATGAACTTGAGCAAAGTAAGAGAAATTACGGTCTTGATGTCAACGGGAAGAGAATAAAAGTTGAGGGTGGTGTTAATTCGTTCGGTTCGGACCGGGTCTTGAAAGCGCGTGAACAGCTTTTTGAAAAAGCAGTTACGCCAAGCGATGTTGGGAAGCTGAACCGGTTGGTCATACCAAAACAACACGCGGAAAAGCACTTCCCTTTACAAAGCGGAAGCACTTCCAAAGGAGTGCTTTTGAATTTCGAAGACGTTACGGGGAAAGTTTGGAGATTTAGGTATTCTTATTGGAATAGTAGCCAAAGTTACGTGCTGACAAAAGGGTGGAGCCGGTTTGTGAAGGAGAAAAATTTAAAAGCCGGTGACGTTGTGAGTTTCCAGAGATCAACCGGACCGGATAAGCAACTGTACATAGACTGGAAAGCAAGAACCGGAGCGAGTGTGGAGAAGGCGGTTGAACCGGTTCAGATGATGAGGCTATTTGGAGTAAACATATTCAAAATACCTGGGAATGGTGTTGATAAGATGAATAGTGGGTGTAATGGGAAGAGAATGAGGGAAATGGAGCTGTTGTCAATAGAGTGTATTAAGAAACAAAGGATGATTGGAGCTGTGTAACGTTTTGTTTTGTTTTGTTTTTAAACTACTTGTATTTTTCCTTGGAATTTTGTGAATTTTAAGAAGGTTCGTGCGGTGGGGTGGGGGAGGTGATGTAGTTGCAAGTTGCAAAGGTGAATTGTAAATTACAAGACAAAAAGGCTGAAATTAGGTGTAACAAGTTTTAAATTTTATAAATTATAAATGGATAACTGTTAATTAATTCTTATGTGTCCAAATTATCTCGCTGGAAAGAACCTCTTGTCTTCAAAAGAGGTACAGATAAGATGTGGTTTATTTTGATTTGGTTTCTCCTTACACCTGTTATTTCACTTTTAACTTATTATATTGATTTTATATCACTTTGGAATTATGTGATAGTGATTCCGTTTATTATATGATTGTAACATCCAAATTAGTTGAGATTCATACTTAATTAGTACATGTACCAGGCACTAATTCAAAGTATATTTGATAGAATAGAAAGATGATGCCCTCTTATGATATTTTGAAAAATGCATGAAATTGATTCTGATTCTCATAAAGCTTGACAACATTGACCACATCAACCCACCAATTCAATCAATTGTTACTCTTAAAACCCCTTAATTTCCATTAATTTGTTAAATTAATTTTGTTTTTGTTTTTGATAACTGGAGTGTTTCGTGTACTTTAATTAATTTTTAAAACCTATTAAATATCTTATAAATCTAATGTTTTAACATCTTATAAGTCTAATATTTTAGATAAATCATAAAATTAGTAATTTAAACCCAATAAATCAATAAAAGTAGCAAACGGACGAACTAAAATATAAAGATTTAAGATTCGGTAGAATAAAATAATCCCCATATTAAAAGATTGTCAATTTACGTGCAGTAATGTGTGACGCACATAACATATCTGCTAATCTAATGAGAAATGTCAAACCCATTAACCAATTTTGGAAGCCGACAATAATATTAATTTAAAACAAGACGCGTTCAAGGCGGAGGCAGAACCACGAATGTGCATGATATTTTCTTAATTACTTTGATTTGACTGGAAGATGTCTTCACAAGTTTCTCTCTATAAATGCTTAATTATGTCAACTGTTGGGTGGTTCAAAATTAATGAGACAGTTTGGATATTTTCATCACAAGAATAATCAACCTGAAATATGTTGATTGTCGACGACATTAAATTGAGTTCGCAGCTGTAATTGGGCAAGTGTCCATGCAATTTGAGCACAGCCGTAGACGACTTTCTCTAGAAGAAGAAGAATATGCATGTGTTCAAACTTCAAACTTTCAATTATCCTGCATGTTTATCTCTGAGAAAATTAGGCCTCCTTTGACTAATATTATTATGTGATTTGGGTATAAATCAATATCATTTTCACTCCATGTTTTAATTTTGGCATTCTAAAATTAGTCAAACTTTAAACACTTTGTCACATCTATTTCCTTCATGTATTTATTGCCATCTTAATCAAATAACATAATACGTAATTTGACTAATTTTATTTCTTTATTTTCAGATTTCATTATACATTGCCTTGGGATAAATACTGGGTTAATTTGATAATTACCACAATTTCAGGGTCATTCAAAAAACTCTTCTTTAGTATTTTCTATAGAGTTTAAATAACACCACTCTTTATTTCGGGCCGTGATCAAACCCAAATCCTCTGTTACTTTGTGGAGGCAAAGCCCAACTATTTGGGCCTTTTCTAATTAGCCCATAGCAGAAGGTTTTATATTTCAAAGTGCTACTGGGTTCGTGCACCTTTAAATAAGCCCATGGACTCTGGTTGACTAGCCCAGCCCATGTTTACACAAAATCCTTTTTTTTTGTTCGAATGACGCGAAGTCCTTTTTCTTTTGTTATCTTCTTCTTGTTCTACTTCACTCTCTGAGTATACCGAGAATGGCATTGGCAGCTTCACTTTCACATGGCTCATCTTCCTTCTTACATGGAGAATCTTCAAATTCAAACTCGAAGTCAACTCTTTTCATGGGAGCTCCTCTCACCTTCTCTGTCTCTACTCTCTCTGGTCTGTCTGTCTGTCACTCTATTACTTTTGCTGCTAAATTAATGTCTAATTAAATGCTAATTATGCTTTGTTCAATTCAGGTAAACAATCATTTTCACAAAAGAAACTTGTCGTCCATTCCAGGAAGATATCTGGTTTGGAGGAGGCGATGAGAATAAGGAGGTATATACTAACCATTTCATATAGTGTTAACGATAAATTTAATTAGTGACACGGAGATAACTCTCCATAATTTTGTCTTATAAAAGCTTTAATTGTCATCTTGGGGATATTGAAGAATTTAAATGGATTGTATTTAAATTAGTATGCAGAAGAACATCACCGAAGGATTTCATTAGCTTTAATACAATTTGTTTGGTAGGTGATTTGAATTTTTTATTTTTTTTTTTAAATATTAAAATACAAGTTCTACTTAGATATAACTTGGATTTAAATACTATGAAAGCAGAAAAAACAAATAATAATAACTTTTTCCTTGTTTTTAAATTTGAACTAGTTTTTAAGTTTATATCCGTAAACTATTTTTAAGACCACCCAAGCGAACACATTTTTATGGATAATACTCTCTAATACCTTTTGTGTTAAAAAAAAAAAAAAAAAATAGTTTCTCTGTTGAAAATTACATATACTCTTCATTTTTCATATTTTTCTTGCAATGACATGTCCACAATGTGTAGTGTTGCTCTTAAAAAATGAGTATTAGTTTCTTGTATAGATAAATAGAAAGAGAAAGGATATTTTGGAGAAGCAAGAAACAGATAACCTAAGGCACTTCTATGCTCTGGCTACTCAATCCACAGGTTCTAACTAAAGGGCTTTGAGTTTTAAAACAATGAATAGGTTTTTGGTTTGTGGTTCCATGTAAAGCAAGCATATTTAGGGAAACTGGACATGTACTCCTCATAAATTCATGTTGATTGTATTAGCTTCTAAATAATTGAAGTTGAAACTTCTCCCTCCATCTAAGTGCTTTTGGATTAGGATTAAGGTTGTAATTAAAGTGCTTTCATAAAAATATAAGGATTTAAAATCATTTATGTGCTTTTTTTTTGTGTCATCACCTAAGTTGTATCTCAATATTATGAATCTGTTTTTTTTTTGGAAAGTGTGGCATCTGTGTATGTGGTTCTATTGTTCTATATTTGCCTCATTGATTGATTGTTCGTCATCTGAAGAGAACGTGAGCTTCAAAGTAAACCAAAATTTAGGAAAAGGCCGCCTTTGAGGCGCGGAAAGGTATCACCTCGTTTACCTGTGCCTGATCACATACCAAAGCCTCCTTATCTAAGTTCAAATATACTGCCAGAACTTTCCCCTGAGCACCAGATTCACGATTCTGAAGGCATCACTAAGATGAGGGCTGCATGTGAACTTGCTGCTCGAGTCTTAAACTATGCAGGAACTTTGGTTAGGGTAAGAATTGCTATATCATGTAATTATTTGAGTACAAAACAAATCAAGAATTGGATTTTTTCATGAAAACTGTCTAATTAAAGTAACTTTAGCTGGTCTGGATATGCAATGAATCATCCGGTTGAATATGTCACTGAGGGATAAGCCACGTTCAGGGGCTTAAGTGTATATGCAGCATCTACGAAAGCTTCCATCTTCTAGATTTTTTTTTTTAGTGTTCATGTAAAAAATTTCTTAATTTTGATTTGGAGACTTCTATTGTTCTCTCTGGAAGCAGAAAAGACGTTGCGAGTTAAAAGTTTCTGTTTTCAGGATCAAAGAATTAGCATGCACTTCTTTCTTGATCATCCACATCTAGGAATAATTTTTTTTTTTTTTATTTTGGGTAAATAGTAGTGTTAGTATGTTCTGATTTAACCATTGCATGTTTTCCTCTTAGACATTTGATCCTTGAACTCTTAACCTGATATATTATTGATACTTCAGTTACATATTTTTTTAAATCTTATCAGCCATCAGTGACGACAAATGAAATTGACAAAGCAGTGCACCAAATGATCATAGAGGCTGGTGCTTATCCTTCACCTCTTGGTTATGGAGGATTCCCCAAGAGTGTCTGTACATCTGTTAATGAGTGCATGTGTCATGGAATACCAGATTCTCGCCAACTACAGGTCTGTTGTGTACCTATTTGTTTATTGTATGACAAGTACATATATCATCGTTACTGATTTGTTCTGTTTACAGGATGGTGACATAATAAACATTGACGTGACAGTCTATTTAAATGTATGTTCTTAATTACTTTTATCCTAGCTTGTTTATGAATATGCTTGAAATATTGTCTGAATGCTTAGTGTTGACTGCCTGACACATCAAGTTGGTTATCATCTCTTTGTATATAGTGATTACTAATTTGATCATCAATGGGATCCATGTCAGTATATGTATTTATAAGCTACAATGGCATTGGATTATCTGAGGGGGGAAATAAGTGACATTGAGAATGATTAGAACTGTAAAGAATTAGTAATATAATGTAATTGATTCTTTGTTCAGGATTTTTATGTTGCCATATTATGGTTGGCTGATCTTCTTAGCCAGCATGTATTTTGGTGCCTCATTCACTTAAAATATCCTAACCGTTCTCTTGAACAAAATTTCACAGGAAGAAAATACGCTCCTTAAATACTTAATCTTTCTGAGATATGAATCGTGTAATCTAACTCTGTAGTTTCATGGCTTAGAGGAGTTTCAGAATTTGAAGAGTGTAAAGCTTATTATTCTCTGTATGAAATGAGCTTCCTTTTGTAGGGTTATCATGGAGACACATCAAAGACCTTTTTTTGTGGCAATGTCAGTGATGCACTTAAACACCTTGTGAAGGTAATTTTTTGTTGATTCTTGGAAGGATAACTATTAATTCGGTTTGTCTCAACTAACTGTCACGATGTTAAACTTATTTGAAAAACTTTAAATATCTGTCTGTACTCTGCTGTTAGTTGTACACGTTCTTCTTTGCTTTTTCTGTAATTTTTATTTATATATACATGATTACAAATGGCATACATAATCTTCAAGTTTTGCTTTGCACTTCACTGTTAATTTTATTTGGATGTTTTTTACATTGTTACCTTGTGATAGGTAACTGAAGAGTGCTTGGAGAAAGGCATAGCTGTTTGTAAAGATGGCGCTAATTTCAAGAAAATCGGAAAGAGAATCAGGTATAATTTCTCTTTTTTTTTGAGAAAATGTCCGGACAAAACATTTTTATAGATGATACACAGCAGCAAAATTTTACCAGAAAAGCTATGGTACAGATGGCAATTGTTAATCAGAACAGGGTTGGAGACGAAATTTGTAGTGTGATACTTAGGGAGATCCATCATCACTAGGTGATTTCTGATCACTCCTGTGTCTCTCATTTTTCTCACATTAATACCATTCTCTTTGGTATCCTCTCAATAATAATTTAAAACACTATTGTCTACATTTCCTAGAAAATGCAAAAAAATTATTTTATCCTATTTATTTCAACCAACTCCTTTGCAATTTTTTGACATCATAACTTAAAAACTTAGTTACGTAAAAGGGAGTTATTTGGTAGAAGTATTTCCTGCATAAATTGAAATTTTAAGGTGGTGTAGCAGTTGCTGAATCCAAAAGGCAGATCATCTTATTCATTTATAACATTCATAGATATGTTTCTTGCTTATCTGATTGAGGATGAGTTTTCTGGTACATTGTTATCTTGCTTTAATGTGTAATTCTTTGGATGAACTGATGAATACTAACATGATGCAATTGTCAACTGTTATACTTGTTCTTAACAATTTAAATGGATCATTGTCTCAGTGAGCATGCTGAGAAATATGGTTTTGGTGTAGTGGAGCGTTTTGTTGGCCATGGTGTAGGGACAGTATTTCATTCTGAGCCGATCATATTACATAATCGTAAGGATCCCCCAATTATTTTGCTAATCAATTTTTTTCAAGTTTAAACATTTACAGATTATCAGTCAAAGTTTAAACTGTTCTTAGATGTTTAGACATGCATGACATTTGAACAATAGTGGACTTATATCTTACTGTTTTTGACTTTTTCTTTTTTAATTTTTTACTTCCGAAGGATACTTAGGTTTGCTGATAACTTAAGTAATATGCTGTTAAATTATCTTTTGTATTAGTAGTGATTATTGTACCAAAGGTCTTCTGAATGTAATTATTAATTATTTGACAGGCAACGAGAAACCTGGTTGCATGGTTGAAGGTCAAACTTTTACAATTGGTGAGTGCATTTCTTTCTTTCCTGGGAATCCAGGAGGCATTTCGATTATACATGATTCCCAACTTTTATTCAGGTTAGACTGGCAAAGCTCATGTCAAACTTGTCAACCCAGACCCATCTGAAATAAATTGCTCTGGGTGGTAATTATGTTAGATTTTTATGGGCAGTAGAGGTGCTCCTTTCGACTTTTCCCTTGCTAACTGCTAGTCAAGGTAGGATTTGTTGGGTGATGAGAACTGTTCCAAAAAAGTGAGCTATGAGTTGGCGGAACTATTAATTTTTTTTATTGTTAAGATGAGAAGTGAAACTGGGTTGAGGGTTAGTTAATGTAATTTGGAGTAGACAACAATCAGGTTTTGGACTATCTTAAATTCTTAATAAAAAATACCATAAAATGTTGTGATGATGACGCAATGAAACAGATACTATAATTCATTTGAAATCTTATTGCAGAACCAATTCTTACAATGGGAAGCATCGAGTGTGTAACTTGGCCTGACAATTGGACAACTTTGACAGCTGATGGCAGCCCTGCTGCTCAGTTTGAGCATACCATTTTAATTACTAGAACTGGCGCTGAAATTTTAACACAGTGTTAAATTTTTTTTTTTCCTTTTTGGATACATCTAATTTTTTGGCCCTATTATTCAAAACTGTACATACATAGTGAAGAATGCGGAGCAGCTTCCATCCATTCAGCTCATTTAAGTTTTGAAATGGTTCAAGGTTGATGATTATGCCCTTTTATTTTAAAACAGTCTCTTTTGATTGTTTTTTGCTTGGAAAAAGCTTAGATTGTGTTTACCGCAGTGGTTGAATGAGTCAAGTGAGGTTGCTTTCCTTCCCATTCACTAGAACATAAACCTAGTTTTGTAACAAGAATATTCATTAAACCCTCACTTATTTTGTTTTAAATCAATATTCCAAAATCTAAATTCAAAAGAGTATGCGTGCAAAATAGGTTTTTGATGAAAAGGACAATGTTATATATAATAAAAGGTTAATAAGTCATGGCAGCATTAACAGGTAGTTATATTTGGATCTTGTCAGATCACAAGTTATGTACTGCATTATTCGATGATTAATTTGGGTTTTGCACTTCTTGGATTCCTTTTCAGTGAAAATAAATAAAATATGAAAGCAATGGCGACAGAGTAGAATATGTGAAATTTCCACCTGTTTTCCAACCGGTTTCGTAAGTTGACCCCCAAGTAAGCACCGGCTTTGTAGCAACTAAAATTACAAGAAGCACATGTCTTTAGTCCACACTCCACAGTTTTATTTATTTTATTTTTTATTTTTTATTGCACGTTGCAATGTAACCTAAACCTAATGCCTTTGAAATGTCTTCGCAAAGGTTTGCTTGCATCGACGTATTATCCAGAATCTGTTGTATATTTTTAAGATAATTATCAAGAGCATTTATATATTTCTACAAACTAATGAAGATGAATACTCTCTTATAGCTTATTTTATTTGATAAATAGGCGGCTATTTAATTTTAATCTTAAATTATTGCAAAACTAATTAGTGCTAATAAACAATGTGAAACACCTTTCCTCTAAAAACTGTGATTGGATGGTGGAAGATATAAAATAACATATGTTTTGTGAAGTAAGAAAAGTACCCTTTATTGATATCAAGAAAATGTTGTCCAATATGAAAATGAGGACAACCTGTTTTGCATATTTAACAAAAGAGCCACATGAAGACCACCATACCAAGTCTCATTGACGCCGACCATTCTTTATGCTAATGTGAATCATGCTCCTATTGAAAATGCAAATCATACGGGTTTTTAATCTTTGATCTACAAATTTCCACCGTACATTTCTCTTTTTCCTTTCAATAAACAAAAAGAAAACCCCACGTGCTCATCAACATAAACTTTATAATAATAGTACAACACTCTTGTATTAATATGCTCCACTTTCATCTCTCCGTCCATCTTCAACCTTCTCCATCTCTTATCAAACCTAACTTTACCAAATCAATCAATGGCTTCTGCAACCTCTCTCAAGACCTTTTCTTCCCTCAAGCTCTTCAATCCTAGATCCTCCCATAACCAATCCCTCCTAGCTCTCAATCTCTCTCAGAAATACTCTTTTTCTTCTCAAAACCTCAAACTCAAACATTTCTCACCCTCTAGATCAAGCTCCAAGAACATCTCCACTACAGCTTTCTTCTTCAACAAATCAAACCCCCAGCGCGATCCTCCTACTCCCAGTAAGTTTCTCTTTAAACTAATTTTAAACTAATTATTACCGTGAAGATCACTTATTGAATTTCTTTTTTCAGCTAAAGTTCAAGAATTGTTTGTCTATGAAATCAACGAACGAGATCGAGGAAGCCCAGCAGTTTTAAAACTAAGTAAAAAAGAAGTGAGCGCACTAGGTGATCTTGTCCCATTCACCAACAAGCTTTACAGCGGAGACTTACAAAAGCGTTTAGGCGTCACCGCAGGCTTATGTGTGTTGATCCAACACGTGCCGGAGAAAAAGGGTGATCGTTACGAAGCCATTTACAGCTTCTACTTCGGGGACTACGGCCACATCTCAGTTCAAGGACCTTATTTGACTTATGAAGACACCTACTTGGCGGTGACTGGTGGGTCTGGAATTTTTGAGGGTGTTTATGGACAAGTAAAATTGCAGCAGCTTGTGTTTCCTTTTAAGTTGTTTTATACTTTTTACTTGAAGGGTATTCCTGATTTGCCTAATGAGCTTCTAGGAACTCCGGTGGAGCCGTCGCCCGCTGTTGAGCCGGCTCCAGCGGCCAAGGCTACGGAGCCTCAGGCTACTATTCCTAACTTCACCACCTAAAGCTCATGAGGCTCATAGATAACATAAATAAGGTAGCGAATAGTTGGGGAAGCCATTGTGTTTATGTAGTTAATTTCTAGTTTTCTTTTGCAAAGCCGATGTATGAGTTTAGCTATTCGTCGGAGGACTTTTTGTATCAGATTTGTGCAAGTTAGATCCAATGTATTTTAAGTATGTTGTATGTCTTTTATTTCAAAAGAAGAATTGATTCTCTTGGATCAAAATCATTCATAACTTTTAGAATATCTTGTTGGTGAAATGGTATCTGATAACATTAAAATTGGTGAATTGATCTCCATTGGTAGTTATATTTTGGACAAGTTACATGATCCAATCTTAATTAGGACAGAATAATAAAAGTTGTTGTAGTAAGAGTTAAAAAAAAAAAAATTGAAAGATGATGGTGGTGATAGAGGTACTGAGAATTAGAAATTAAAAATGTTTTGCAGCTGTGTCTCGTAAGAAGAAGAATAATAATAAAGAAAAAGAAAAAGAATCTCAATTCAAAGCTGAGGTTCTTCTTCTTCTCTCTTTTTTTGTATTGTTTAAGATAGAACAAGTTAATACAAAATATTGTGTAGGTGAAGGAGGCCATGATAAAGCCCATGACATGAGATAGTAATTAGAAGAAGTGCAGATACAAGTGAATGAAACAAAGAGTAGGCTCAACAGACACAGTCCTGCCGTTGGAATGAAGAACATCAGGTCCACAATCACAGTTCCATTTCCATAGTGGACAACTATCTCTTTCATTTAGGATCACTCACTCACATTCTTATTTCTTAATCACTCCAATGCTTTTTAACTAATTTATATTGCACACTCTTTTCCTAAGTTATATTTTTGTAATTTTCTTATAGAGTTTTACTACTGAAATATAACTCTCTATCTAGTTCTTTTAGTTATATATAATTCATATTTTTTGTTGCAAGTGCAATATATATTTTATATTATTAATTATTAACAGTATGCAACTTTAGTCCTTCTTGAGTAATATATCATCTCTTTCAATTGTGTACTTGTGGATTAATAAAGTGGAAGTTGTGAAAGAAAGAAAGAAAGCGAACTACTTTCCTGAATAATGAATAGACCACATTACATATACATATACGATTACTGAATCGAATACTGAATACTTTCCCGACCCCTCATAACTGGATGATGAGTATATAGTTCAAACTGCAACTAATTTATAAATGAATTAATGGTTTATTCGAAGATGAGAAGGTCATCACAGTAAACCAGTCCACAATCCAATCAATCAATTTCTAGAAGATAATGTAGTAAAAATGTATCAATCAACTTCATCGGCAACCACCAGATTGCCCTTACGTGATTTGGCAGAAGAATTATATTGGGTTGTTTGGGTGATACCATGTATTGGAGAGAGGTGTAAATTTGATAAAAAAATTCACTGTAAAAACTAAATAAATGTATCAATTTATACATTTATTTAGTTGTGGAGACGTTGAAAGCCGATGAAGTTGAAAGCCGAGACCATCGGGAGCGAACGAGATTGCCTTCGCACAAGAGATGAGAGTAACCTTCATCGAAGGAGATGTTGGAGACGTTGAAAGCCGATGAGTTGTAAGATAAAACTACTGAAAAGCAACACAAATACAACGAAGGAGAGACCACTTTGATGATGCCAACCCATTTTTTTTATATTTTATTTTGGATTTAATTTATATATAATATTATCCCACGTAAATGCTTAGAAATTTCTTAGAGGAGAGAGCTTTAACGTGACTAGTTGTCTGATCCTCTATTGGATATTGATAATTTGTTCAGATATTCATTTGAGTTTTTTGTTTATGACCCTCAGAATTCACCGAAAGATGAACCTGGTATGCTCAAAGCAGTTCAGAATGTGCATGCAATGATAACAAGGAAGTAGCTACTGGAACAGATCCAAAAATGTGTTTGTATGTGGATTTAGTCAAGGAGGTCTCTCTCTCTCTCCCTTTCTTCCAGACGTTCACAGAGACACACTAAATAAGACTTACTGTTTTGCTATTTTTTGTGCAACTTGATCATGGCGCTGAAGAATCCGTGCTATTTCAGCCATGGATTTCAGAGCATATTTGTATCTGAGCTGGTAGACTGCTGCAGAGTGTTGGAAAAGGGCATCGTGCTTGGGCAGCACAGAAGAAGGAAGCAGCATGGAGGTTGAGAAGGGTTGAGTTGCAGCTGGAATCAGAAGAATCGTCCAAAGTTTTTCTTTAATTTGTAGAAACCAACGCCCATCCAAGCTTTTTTTTTTTTTTTTTTTATAGGACGTAAATAGGAACGCCCGTCCAAACATAAGGGACGGCCGTTCCCAAAGTTTTACAAATTTTTTAATTTTATTTTAATAGGGACGAGCGTCAATATTATATGGACGCCCGTCCCTCGAATATGGACGAGTGTCCATGTGAGTGAACGATCGTCCAAATTTTTTGGAAGGCCGTTCACTAGAAAAAAAATTGTAAAAAAATGGAAAGACGCATTACACATAGGCCGGTACAAAAATTCGATACTAATAGTTCGGTGTCCGTAGTGTTATTGTATATATTTATACATTGTACACTGATTGATTTTTTCATTCAAATCCTGTTTGAATTTCAAAAATATCATGCTCATGTGATTATAAAAAAGTTTCTTGTACACTGTGACCACGCACTAATCATCTCAACTTTCCTTCAAATCCACACAAAGTCCAGGATTTTTCCCTTGTATTTAATTAACATCCAACTTTCTTTTATGTATACTTTTGAATATTAAACTTGATTTGGGCCCAATAATATTTGGATTTATCAACTAAAACCTAGCTTAATATTTTTTTTCAAGCCCAATGTAAAACTCATATGTGGCCCAAATAATAGGCTTTGTAACTAAAAAGATCTTATTTGTTAGAGAGATGTTAGATAGCTATTAATTGTGAAAAACGTTAGATGATACTCCCTCCGTTTCCAAATAAATGACGTTTTGGTTAATTGCACACTTTTTTATACTCTGATTTTTTTAATGTAAACAAAAAGAGAGAGGAGGCGTGGGCATACAAAAAAGTGGAGAGAGAGACACATAGAGCAGAGAAAGAGAGAGAGAGGAGATGTGGGCCATCGCAAAAAAGTTGAGAGTTGAGGCAGACACACAGAGCAGAGAAAGAGAGAGAGGACATGTGGGCCATCGCAAAAAAGTGGAGAGTAAAGATCAGACAAGACAAGCGACACTTATTTTAAAAAAAAATGACATCCTCAAAACGACACTTAAAAAAAAACGGAGGGAGTATTTATTAGGCGCTACAATAAAATTATTCTACAGTAACATAAAAAAAATGAGGCTTTCATAACACTTAAAAAGTGTCATTACTAATTATTTTGTTGTACTTATTGAAAGTTATAAAATGAACTTTCAACAAGTACAATAAAATGCTATTATTAAGCATATTATAACACTTAATCATAGTTGCAAATGATTTTATGTTACATTCTATAAGTGCTATAAATTAGTTATTCGTAACATTCTTAAATTTTTATAGGTTAGTTTTTTGTAACATCCTTAAAATATTATAGATAAGAAATTTATAACATTTTTAAAATGTTGTAGATAGGTTTTTCATAACATTGTTAAAATATTGCAGATAAGTTAATATATGTATCTTGTATAACATATATAAATACTATTATAGTTGTTACAAATTATAAATAATGATATACTAATCTTATTTGAAACAATTTTATAAATCTGAAGATAAATTTTTTAAAAACACATTTCATTAATAAACTTTCATATATAAAAAGCTTCATATTATTAGATGACAACGGTTATACTTGCTATTATACTTTAGTTAGTTTTATTATCCTTTAGTTAGTTTGTTATTTAATTTTTGAATATTTCAAATGTAAATCTGATTGTATCTAAGCTATATCCTTAACTTTAGGATCTTTTGTTATCTTTTTAACTCTTCTCTTGTAATATATATTTCTTTGAGGGGGCGTTTGGTTCAGGGAATGTTGGATTACTGAAAAGTTAGATTACCTTGAAGATTACTGGGAATCCTTAGGAAAATGTGTTTGGTTAATTGGTGGATATATTATGTTAATATGTTTGGTTGGGAGGAATAAATTGGTGGGTATGTTATTTAAATTACTGAATTGTCCTCTAATTAAATATTATTTTTAATATTGATTATTATAACCCTCTGCATTTAAAAACTTAGCAAAAACAACCCCATAATAAAAGTTTGGAAAATCAACAAAGCACCCCCATCAACCCAGCCGCTGTCGGCCGCCGGCAACCACACCGCAGGCCACCGGCAACCTAACGGTGCATGAAAGGTAGGAAATGGCCTCCGTGCGCCGTATGACCATTTTTGGCCAAAGATTTGGCCGAAAATGGCCAGACTTGACAAATCTGGTCAGAAATGGCCATATTGGCGCACGACAACCATTTTTAGCCTTCTGTGCGCCGTTCCGGTGGCTGGCCACGGTGATGGTTGCCGGCGGCAGGTGGGTGGGGGTGGTGTGCTTGGATGGGCTACAATTTGTTTTGAATTCAAGGATAATTTTGTCAAAAAAGTTAATTAATTAGGGTGAAATAGTAAAATCCATATTCATGTAAATAAATTTAAAAATAAGGGCATTATTGTCTTAAAATTTTATTAATCAGGGATAGAATTGTAACAAAAAAAAGATTACTCTGGTAATCTTAGAATACCTAAGAAAATAGAGGTAATCAGATTACCTCCAATATTACTAATAGTAACTACTATTGGTATTTAAAGATTATCGGAATCTTATATTACTTGACAACCAAACGTGGTAATCAAGTAATATACGATGATATAACTCTAGTAATCCTACATTACCTCCAACCAAACGCCCCCTGAATAATAATGAAAAGATCTGACTTTGGTCCCACAACATAATACAATCACATGGTAGTAGAGTATTTTCTTTTTCGTTGAAAAAAAAAAAATTCTTTTTTCTGTTTTTTCCCTTCTTTCTTCAATAGCCACAAGGACCACTCAAACCAATCCCACAATCACAACCACCCCTCCAGCGAACTCAACCACTCTCCACACCAATGAATTTCAACTCATCACCATAAACACCTCTGCTCAAGCTCCACTCAAACTCACTCCTAGCAACTATGCCTCTTGGAAGCTTTAGTTCCAAGCTCTCTTTATCGGGTATGATCTTCTTGGATATATCGATGGATCCAAGCCTTGTCCACTTGTCAA